AAAGGTATGGATGGTAGATTTTTATTGTCACTAGAATCACTTCATTTCAACTTCTAGAACTCACGTTTTGCACAAAACATCTACTGAACATCAAATCTGTCAAGTATCTCCAATTTACTCATTTTTGCATCTTTCATCCAAAAGTACATTCAAAACATAAGACAAAAAATATCAAGGTTTTTTTATATATATAACATGGGTAAAACACTAGTTAAATATGGGTGAAACTGTCGAATAATATAGTTATATCAATCTTTCAATTAGAAAACTTGAGATTTAGTCAAAAATGAATTTTGAAATAATAAAAATTGATGATGTTGTCTATAATAAATTTTTAAATCTATTAGTTTGTAAAAGTATATGATAAAAAAATATTAAAAATAAAACATATTAATATTATACTTACTAAATAAAATATTTAAATTATCACAGTTAAATAACACATGATTGTGTGCATATCTAGATTTAATTTTTATCAAGTATCTTCCTTACATTGTATTTTTTTATAAAACTCATACAGAATGGAGAAGTATTAATGAATTTTCGCTTGAATACACTTCCCCACTGTCATCGTATATTGGAATATGGTTAATTCTTATTAATAAATAAAACTCAAAATAGTACAAGATAAATGTTGAGATCTTTTGAGCAATACAAGTCTTGCATATCAAAACCTCAATATTGGAATTATTTTTTATTTTTTTTAAGGTTGAACAAATATCTATATGAAATTAAATGAATGTTTTAAATTAAAAAATAATAAAAAATTAATTAAGATTGATGTATAATCTCTAACCTTTCTAATGGATACATCCATCTATATTAAATATGGTTTTCAATTGTTTGCTTAAGAAATAAATGTATAAGTAAATGCTTTATTGAGTCAAAGAAATATCATCTTAAGCTTATAGATTGTATGGGTAGTATTTATTTCAAGCTTTTTCACATGTCGGATATGCAACTTATTAGAGCATATATCTCTAAAAAAATAATTGATTTCTATGAGTGCATCCTATATATCTTTTGCTTAAACATGTGAAACTTATGACTTTTCGTTTCTTACAATTTGTCATCATTTAAATTCACCAATTTAAATATGTTTAAAGCATATCTATAAAGAAAACACAAACTCTTAAGCTATTGATAGGCAAGTAAATATGTATTTTTTTTCTAAGGTGAATCTAGATTTGAGCTTTGTGACTCATGATCTATTATAATCCAACTTTATATTCTTACAATGATAATATATATAGCCTTTATGTTGTCCTTTGTCTTCCCTTTTACAACCATCAACATAATAAAAATATTTTTAAACATGTTTTTTTTTTATATGCATGGCATTCAAATTATTATAGAGAAGATTAGTCTTCCAATAAAAAAGTTCCTAAAAAATACTTTGCCTAACCTAATTATAGGTCATATCAAAACTAGAAAACTTCTATTTACCGGATTGAAAACCAAACACAATGCCTTTGTAATACGAGACCACGTCATATAATTTTTCACTTAACGATGCAATTTCTTTTTAAACTCTATGAATAAAGATGTCAAATCTGTTTTTTCTATACATATGTTTGGTTGGCAAGAACGTCTAGTGGCAATGTTTTACCACCATTTATTAAGGTGAAGACCTTATAATTTTTTCATACAGTATTAACATGCTAATTTTTCATGCATGTTCTAACTAAGAGTCATCTCGTACGCATAAAAATCATTAATAGTTCATGTTGAAGCTGACTTCATCTGAAAATTTTATTTCCTCAAAACATCATATGTTGAATTTTGAAAATGACCACAACTACCTTAACTCATCAATCAACAGTTAAAAATAAACATCTATATTTCTATCCAGACTATTAGGCTAGGTATAATCATAGATAAGAATATAAACTCCAGCCTCATAAACTGTTTATAGGCTTCATTGTTGAAAGGGTGCACCATGACTCTATCTATTATATTATATGCATGTCATATGCTTACTAGTGTTTAGAGACATAAATAACCTTTGTAATCTAAAAGAGATTGAGAAGTATCTAAGTTTTCTATGAGCGAAAAGAGACATTCATCTGTCAGTTTTGAGTTTATACCAAGTATACCTATAGTTTATACACTTGGTCAAATTTGTATTTTCAAGGTAGTATAACATGCATAAGCTTGGAAACATGTCAATTTTCTGGTTTCATCATGAATTTAGTAGGATAAAAGTTCCACTCTAGCTTGCTCACTTTGGGTAAAATGCTTCTTACTCATTCAATAATTATGTTGTAATTGACCTTGTTCAACTCATAATTTGACTTGATGATAAACACTTGTGCAATAACTAATAATATATTATGATTTGTGCATCTATTCTATAATGGTTAATCAGAATCTTTTAAAAGATCAAAAAATTTAGATGCATTTGTATTTAGTTCTTCATTTATAATTGAGCATTCATTTGCATCACTTCGATTCATTCGCATTACATCTATAACCATACATCTATAACAATTACTATAATCATCTTCAACTCTATACATGTTGCTAGAATTAGAAGTTGACCCAACCATCCATTCTATTATAGTTTTATAAGAAACATATGTTTTTTCATGTGCAAACCAACACAAGTATTTCTTCATGAATTTATTTTATATAAGATGCATTGTTACAACATCTGAATTAATTTTTTTTTTTACACCTCTTACATAGACATTTAATACTGCCCTTGCTAATATTTCTTGGGTTAGATAGTATATAATTAATAAAACACTCAACCTTATTACAATAATTCATCACGCACAACCCTTTGACCGAAACTTGATACATTCAAGAACGATCATCCATTACTTGTATGAAACTTATATAGAATATTGATGATAACATGTATTAATTAATTATATGAAATAAGCAAATTATCGGTACCCAACTAATTAGCTACTACTGGTTTAACTCAAACTTATTCAATCTATTTTAACAATATCCTTAAATCATTATCAATTCTCTATAGAAATTCAAATTTCTTTAAATTTACTGAAATTTTCAACATAACAATAAAATTGACAAAATATGAAACTTATCCATGAAGTAAGTTATTATTTATTTCATTATAAAACACATAAGTTACAAAATTAAACTCAATTTCATCAAATGACAAACAAATATATATTTTTTGAATCTCAAATAAACTCAAACATGTACAAATCATACATTCATATAACAAATTTCTACGAGAAGAAGCTATAAAACAACACAAAAACAAACTACATTACTACATCAAAATGCTAAGAAAATCAACATTTTAAAAAATAGATTACAATAAACAATATGTAATTTTCCTTACTTGATGTGGTGAATCTTCAAAAAAAATTAAATCAGAACAAGGATGCTAATAGACTGAGTGTTAGGGTAACTGAATTTGTGATGATGAAAGCTTGATTTATAAAAAAAGATATGAGGGTGTTGTATGCTATTTTCTTTATGATAAATAGGTGGACATAAGGGGTTGTATGTCAAAGTTATAATTTAAATATTATTGAGGGATTCACTAACGGGTATATGAGTATATTTTCTCAGTAATTTTGTATGTAATAAGGACACATGATTTTTTTTCATTCTTTTATTTACAATTATATTTCATTTTGTAGTCACCAATAAAAAAATTATATCGATATATACAGAGAAAAATTATGAGAAAATATTTTATTTGTATTTAATAGTTTTCTAATAGAAATCAAAGTTTCATTATGACTACCATATTAATTTGAAATTTAGAGTTTTTAGTTGTATTTGTAATTAATAATTTTACATTGTCAAGTTTATCTATAAATAACATATGTTATATAACATAGTGATCACTACAGGAGTAAAAAAAAGAATAAGAAAGTATGTTTAAGAGTTTAAAGAGGAAAGTGTCCTCCATTCCTTGTTTATGTTCTAAATTATTAGGTGAAATAAATTTGTTTTTGTTTATTATAAATCGTCCCTTTGTATTTGTTTGTAAACCACCATAAATGCTTTCTATTGCACTCCCACCCTAATGAAGATCACTCAAAGAGCACACTAAAAATAAAAATATAGTATGTTTGGTAATGTAATAGTTTTTATGATTATGATTTATAAATATAATATGTTTGGTACTGTAATAGTTTTTATGATTATGATTTATAAAAAAT